TTAACGCTAGTAAAAAGATTATAACTTGAAAACATTTACAAGAGTTCTGTAATGGGTAGTTGAATAATAGTTAATTAAAGATGAAATTTTGTTTACACAAGACTGCCTATTTAATTTGTGGCATTGACACCTAGCCTGAGCAGTTTGGGTTCTGGCCTCAAACCAAGCCGGCGTCACTGCAGTCACGTACGCATCGTCACGCAACGCTTCTCCCCCAAGGAGTCAATTCGTCCCTAGTCGTCTTTTGAGAGATCCTGAATGGTCGGCGACCGTCGAGGAAGCCTGGATGAAACTCCTCGGGACACGGGGGGACCATGGGAAAAAGAAGAGGAGAGTAAGGGAACCTTCTTTTCCCCTTTTTTCCTACTTCCCATCAGCCCTCGCACTTCCCTCGATAATATTCAATGGCGTTTTGAGTCAGAGTCAGTCGCTTGGAGAGATGTGTTGCGTGACGAAGGAGTAAGGGAGGCCTGCGTCATTGTGTTGCCTTCTTGAGCAACAATGCCCCTCCACCNGGAGTGAACCTTGCGATGAACAGGCATCTCATCCGGGGGAACACGACACTCTAGGGATATTATTTTAACTTGCATAACGCCTGGCGACACCACAGTTCATGGAAAATAAAGACGCGTCACCTGTGCCAACGAAGACGCTGGGATTTCTTGCCGTCTCGGACAAGAGGGGTATTAAAGAAAAAGAAATAAACAGTAACTCCTGCACTAAAACAGTGTTCATACTGATATTGCTTTCATTGTAACTATTTACAGCGTTTATAAAGTTGACAAAAACATCGTATCTCTGCATCAGTTTGTCAGATAAGTCTTTAGCATTTCTGCTTAACTTCCCCAGTAACAGGAGAAGAGTTTATGAAAGTAAATCGTTCTCTTGAATGGCGAATTGCTCTATCACTGTGCTCCAGGGCTATTTTCCAGAGACAACTTTAAATCTTGACGTGTATTGAACAAAGTTTCCAGTTCCTCTCCTTCAAGGATGTAGCCATTACACACTCCAACTTGGCCAGGGCGCGTTGTTATTTTAGCTGCAACACAAACAAAACGTGAGAAATATTCTGATTTCATTCGTTAACCTTCTAGTGTC